ATACACAGATGACGATCTGGCATGAAGACAATCACAGTTAGCTGGTTCTCTGCGTCCCCATAAATAGCATACACCCAAACACTGAAGTTTCCAACGGTGCTTGAGAGATAGCAGGGAGCTAGCCTGGAAAACTAAAACCCTCTGGGAAGCTGGTAGAAGGGCATATATTATAGCAAGGTGGAGGGGCAGTTTGGGTATGCTGACTAAATCCTTTTAGCTTTGTAGCATTAGGGTGTCACGGACATGTCGCTTCACATGTCAAAATGTCCTCGCCTGTGGTCCTTTAAGCATGTCCAGGTCCCACGTTGTATTCTGCCTTCACCAGTTGTATCCTGATCGGACTCCACTGACAGCAGCCCACAAACACTGGAGCAAGAAAGGATGGGCCCGCTGCACTGCCTGCTCCGCTTTCAATCTAAATAACCTCAAGTCTGAGCTGGCTATTAAAAATACAAATGTGAAATCACTTGACAATATTGCATCTAAAGGCAGGTGTTCACTGATCTCTGGCCATAGCTCTTTCCTCCTCGCACTTCTGGGAAGAAGTATTTGCACAGACTACCCTCAAGCAGAGCGGAGCTGGAAAGGTCTCCCCCCGCCCCGGGAAATGAACTGAGCAGCTCTATTAAGTTGACAGAGAAAGCTGTTCTGCACCAGTGCCCCGTTCAGATATCAGACCCTCGTATCTGCCAGGAAAATGTGTTCACGGCCAAACAATCAGATTGGGGGAATGCTTCCTGCTAAGTGCTCCCATCCTTATAAATGTATTTGGTATTCGTTGGATAATGGCACTGAAAGAAACCAGAGCATTCGATGCTTGTGCAGCTCTCCTGTGATGCACCGTCACTGCTATCTGCCTCTCTAACTTTCAGCACAAACTCTGGAAAACAAAGCATTAATTAGAATAGGGTTGTTGTTTTTTTCCCCTCGACAGACTCCAAGACTTGTTTTTGCTAATTAGTATTTTTGTTCTTTGGGGTTGAGAGGGATCATTGGTACGCCTGGGACCACAACAATGACATGCAGCCAGAGCCTATAGTTAGTGAGGGTTTTATTTTTAGGCAAACTGTTGCGAGTCATTAACATTGCCCATAATAGCCCTTTTCTTGGCCAGCTGCGGGGCAGGCATCTTCCACATGCAAACGCTGTCTGCCTCTATCATGACCTGTATGGTTCTGGCTTGAAAGGGATCTTCAAACGGTTCGGTTGATGTATCACAGCACGGATGTGCTGAAGAGGCCCTGCTATCTCGGGTCTATCTAGGCCCCTTCTGCTCTCAGTTTGCCAAAGAGATGCAGCCCCACGTCCTTGAGGCACCGCTGAGCAGAGACCCTTGCATACAGTTGGGCTGAAGTAGGAGATGAGTTTGAAGGGCAGAGAAATGGACTCAACGTACTCAGGTGAGCACAGTCATAACTTACGCCAGGTTTAGACTGGAGATTTCATAGACATTAGGGCTGGAAGGGACCTTGCAAGATCATCAGGTCCAGCCCCCTGCACAAGGGGCAGGAAGTCATTGGGGGTGAAATGATCCCAGCAAGATAAGCGTCCAAATGTTTCATAAAAGTGTCCAGAGTAGGTGCTTGCACCACTTCTGGGAGGAGTCTATTCCAGGCCATGGGGACTTGGACAGTAAAAACGTTTTTCCTTATGCCCAGCCTAAAATGGTCTTGCAGGAGTTTGTGACTGTTAGATTTTGTCCTCCCCTGGGGTGCCCTGGGGCGTTCTCCCAGTTCCTGATGCACACCCCTGATGTACTCATAGGCTGCCACCAAGTCAGCCCTGAGCCTTCGCTCCTCCATGCTGAAGAGTCCCATGGATCGCAGCCCCTCCTCATAAGGCCTGCTTTCTTGTCCTCTAATCATGCACGTGGCTCTCCTCGGGACTCTCTCAAGCTTCTCCGCATCCTTTCTACATTGCAGAGCCCAGACCTGGATGCAGCACTCCAGCTGTGGCCTCACTAAGGCCGAGTAGAGCAGGAGGATGACAACCCAGGTCTTCCTCGAGATGCATCGGTAGATGCAAGCCAGAGTTTTGCTTGCTTTGCTGGCTGCGGCACCACGTTGGTGGCTCATGTTCATCTTGTGGTCCATCATGGTCCCCAAGTCTCTTTGTGTCATGGTGCTAGTGAGTATAGCACTGCCAAGCCTATAAGTATGATGCGAGTGTTTTCTCCCAAGGTGGAGCACCTTGCATGCCCAAATAGGTTCAGATGGGGTCAACTTTCAACAAACGCTACCAAACCTAACTGAACCACCTGCCACGCCAGTACTCTTTCCTGCCAGGGCAGGGGGTCGGACTCGATGATCTGCTCAGGTCCCTTCTGACCCTAGAAACTATGAAACATAGTCTCAGGTTGGGGCAGACACATTCCTCTTGCCCTGTCTGGCTACCTGCCTCTCTTCAGCCCCTGGTGTAACAGTCTGTCCCTCTCTCTTGGCACAAGTAGCAATCCTGCTTCCTTGCCAAGCCAGGGAGGATACAGACTGCCTCTCTGCAAGTATTTCCACAGGTTAATCCTGGACACTGGCTGAAGCTGTCTGGGAGCCTCCTTCTCCTTCCAGAAGTACTTGCGACTCGATGAAATGTCAACGCACTCGGAGCTATTTTGAAAATCTGTCCCATTATGCGACAAACGCCTGTACTGCACTGACATGGCATGTAGTGGCCTGGTTTGATTCCTGCCTTTCCTCTGATGAAATCAATAGTGCTGCTCAGTTGAGTCAAGTCAACAAGGGTTGGCCCATCGGTCTGTGGGTGTCACCGCTGCCAGGATGCCTCAGTGACTGCACGTTACAGGGACTATCCACCTGAGCAGCAATACATGCGACACAGGCCCTATGGTCTCTCCTCTGTTAAAAGGCAGTGTTCTTAGGGTTCAGGATCAAGGGCTCCCAGCTTTCCTTTTTCCCAGTGCAAAAACCCTTATTGCTTAAGGTCAAGCCAACTAAGAGAAACAACTGGATTCGTTCGGGGACTACTGTTGGTTTTTTCCTTCCAATTCACTCAGGGAAAGTCCCTAACAGCTTAAAATTAAAATGTCACTCACCGTTCTTTAAGTGGAAAAGAATGAAAGAAATGTTTTCTAACGAGACTCGCCATTTTTTCCTGCCCGATACCTTTCATCTGGCAAAAGGAGCAATTTACTTACTCCAGCATCTGAAAGCAGATCCCTTCCGAGGGACTAGTCTGAACCCTCCAGCATTCAGCTGGCTGCGAGGATAAGTTTGGTTGCAGTGATCTCGTTTCAGGCATTCGGCAAAATAAAAAACCGAGTGCAGCATACTAAGCTGTCCACTAGGTGTCAGGGCAAAATTAACTCTACAGACACTTCTGGTAACCTTAGGCAGGCTGAAGAAATTGGAGTTTGCTTCAGAAAAGCAACCGCACTTGTGTTAACTTCCTTGCTCCTTGATTTTTTTTTCCCCTTGGGGTGGAGTAATATGAGCTCGCAAAGCAGAAGCAAAAATGGGGAGGGAAGGAAGAGAGCATATTTGTAGGTTGGCAAGCAAGGTTCTCTGGGTAAATGTGTTAGCTTTTATTAGACCAACTAAAGAGCTGGAAAAATTGTGCTTTGCAAGCTTTTGGGTACAGATACCCTTCTTCTGTCTGACGCAGATGGGTACTTCCATCTGACAGGCATGTGCTTTGCAATTGAGCTTTGCAAACTTTCGAGTACAGACACCCTTTCTTCCTGTCTGAAGAAGGATGTCTGTACCTGGAAGCTTGCAAAGCCCAGTTTTTCCAACTATTTAGCTGGTCTAATAAAAAATATCACATTTACCCAATGAACCTTGCGTGCCTATGTCCTTAAACCAACCCAGCTGCAACCAACACCTCCAATACTTGTATGCTGGCCATTTGGGGAGCCTCTGTTTTAGAATACTCTAATCAGAAACCATAGGCCTGATTTTCACAGTTGAGAACCACCCAGTGAGCAAGCTGGTTTTGGCAGGTGTCACCAGTGTCTAGCACCTTCTGAAAGTGAGGCTACCCATATCAAGATGGATGCCCCAAACCAGTAGCCACTTCTGCAAATGTTGACCCTCGGTGACCAAAGGCACTGAGAAGGGGTCATTTTGCTCAGTTGCTAGTTGAGCCAAAGCCAGAACCAAAAGGTACAAAACCACAAATCATCAGGGTGACAAAGAGCATGCGTCTGGTTTTAGTACGGTACAGGCACATCTACTGGAAAGGCAATGAACCACATGAAAAGTACCTTCAGAACATAAGACATTTGGAGGAAAATGCAATTTTATAAATTAAAAGTGCAATTCTGGAGCTGTCCAATACTAGGGATTGTCATACTGTGAAGATAAATTCATGAGCACCTGTAAAAGAAAGGCTGGGCGCTATAGGAGAGTGAGATAGCTTTTTGCTCCGGATAGGGTGGTATGGAATGGCTCCTGGTCTAAACTTGATTTTCTGGGGCTGGAAAACATTTGACATATGATCAAAAATTTTTGCCGCTACCAGTGCAGCTGCCACACCTTCTCCATCCTGCTGTGTGATCTCAAGGCTGTATTCCTGGCCTGGATTACATTTCCAAGCCAACCCACCCCGCTGCCACAGTGCAAGAAGAAGACACTGCTTGCAGTCTAATGCCTCAGATGTGCTGCATAATGCAGATGTCCAACCAAACCGCACTCAGACATGCACTACACAAATAATACTCACACATGCCATATATCATGTAACAACAAAGGATGCAAGTGGAGATCTATCCTTGATTTTGCCTTTAGCCTTGAGTCATGTCATGTAAAGCAGCCAATACGTTTGCAATCGCTGTCGTGGACATTCCTCAGAAACTCCTTCCTTCCCCTAAGCTGAGCATGGTGAGGGTTATTGTGTTCCCTACTCTACGACAGAGGGTTTAAGGAGTCAGAGGTGGGTATTTCCATGCTTCACTGAAACTAGTGATGCTATCCACCCCAAGTCTCATGTGAATGAAGGAACTAAAGCCACAGACAGCCAAAGGGTATGTCATGTGCAATACTTACTCTCTCCCCAGGGTCACCAACTGGCCCCACAGACCCGGTTGGTCCTGGAGGTCCTGGAAGACCCTGGTATGGAAAAGACAGAAAAAAGAATTAGCTGCTAAAGGAAAAATATGTTATTTGTGTGCATTTGTGCAAAGCACAGGAACAGAATTAGAGCCGTCTGTTTATTTTTGCACAGAAAAACTGCCCCTAGAGTGCTTTGATATACATGCGTGTCATATGGAAGTAATAGAGGCCAGAGAGCACTTTGCATGCAGCTGGTCTATCTGGATGCAGCGAGAGGTGTGCGTGTGTGTGCGCACGCGCAAGGGCACACGTGTACAGCTTCATGCACCAAAATGTGACTTACAGCTGGGCCTTCAGAACCAGGTGGACCTTCAATGAGCATTCCCTGGAAAACAGCAAGAGAGATGGGTGAGTAGCAGCAATACACCCCCAAGGGCCTCAGGGACAGGGCTCAAAAATCAAGCAGCCTTTCCTGGCCTGAGATGCCCGGAACCAATCTTCTGCTGCAGGTGTTCAAGCGTCTCAGAGTTAAACACTTCCCCCTGTGCCCATTGCCACAGACAACTATGTATGGCAGACTGAAAAGCAAAAAGGTCAGCCATTCATTTGGCAATGCTGAACCCAAATTAAGCCTGCTATCAACCACCCAGTAGCTTAAGAGCAGAAACCTCTCTAATCATAAGTCAAGGTCAAACAAATGTAACCCCTAGCACCATTTCTGACCCCATGCTCTGATGGAGGGGGTTTGGCAGGGGGACAGTCCCCTTCTAGGACCGTGTGGCCTCCTGTCCTGCAGAGTTAAAAATCTTCACATTCGAAGGCATCGCTTTTTAAATGACTTCCTTTACCAGACTTTATGCAGCAAGTGTACCTAGGAGATCACTGCATGGGTAAAACACTAGGATAATAGGGTTCATTTTCTTAATCTTCATATTCTGATCTTTTGTGTGTGAGCTGAGAGGAAAGAGAGGAAACAAACTCCCCACAAAAAGTCAGATCTGTACTGGGAAAGAGCTGGAGTCCTTCCTAGCCACAAGGTCCATGCGACAGGCTCTGCCCTTTCCTCTGCACATTACTGACCAATTGCAGCAGAGGCCAACATCACGCCGACGGTCTGAGCTGAGTCATTTTTCCGTCTTGCCGGGCAGCTTCAAGCAAAGAGAATAATTTCTCTTTACAGGATGGAATTAGCCCGGGAAAGTCAGCAAATGTCAAATCGACTCGCTCAGGAGACGGCTGGGAGGAAGCCAGCCTGGGGATCAAGTTACGCTTCACCCTCGGAGGAGGGTGGTCTCCCCAGGTCAGGGTTGAAGCTAAGGGCAGTCGGTGGAGCACAGCCAAAGCGTGGGCTGACGTCACGGCTGCTGCCTCTGAGCGGCCTTGAGCACATCTGGACTAGCTGGGGTACGTGTTGCAAACGGGGCATCCTGCCCTCGTACCCTGCCATCCTCCAGCGAAGCGCGGCCCGAACTGCTCAGGCCAGCACAATGCCAGATCCCATTAGAAGAAGAGATGCACACATTACCTGCACTGTGCTAGCTGCGTGCCTTGTCTACCACAAGGACGTTCGATACTAATACTATCCATTTCTAGCTAACGGATTTAAGGGCTAGTTTCTGGCTCATCTGGGTAAATGAAGCCAAAATCTCTGCTGGTTGAACAGGATATAACCGATGGTGAAGTCAACACAGCTGTGCCCATTAACACCAATGATGCGATGTCACTGGTGTCTATGGCGTCACTCCTGATTTACGCTACCAGCATCCACCATGTTAATCCACCTGAATAAAAACAGCTTCTTTCTCTTCCATAGGAGAAAGGGGGGATTTGCTAACCACTATTAAACATATGATCAAAATCTAGAAGATGTGTTCCTATGGGCTTATGAGTGTCCACAAAGTGGCGGGCAAAAAGAGGGCTCCAGGCTGGAGCAGAAAAGAAAGAGGCGGGCAGTCACACCACTTGAGCAAAGTAAGAGAGAACGGTCCGTGCACCCCGGATGAGCGAGCTGCACGCTAGCCTACCATGGTTTTTTAGCCAACTTTTGCTCATATGCACAAAACGGGAAAGCTACTCCTTGCCCAAGGTCTGTACTAGCTGAAGCTATGAAGGCCTAACAAGGAGAAGTGAGGATGTGTAGTGCTAGGAGCTGGACAAATGAGCAAACTATATGGAGAGGCTTTATTGCAAACGGTAGCTAGATTTTGACCTATATGCTGTGAGAAAAGAGGGCATGGGAAATCTCTTCGCTTCTGGTCTAATAGCACTGGTTTAATAGACCTCATCCCCCAAGGAGGGAACTTTGGAGGGTGCCCGGGCTCCATTCAGGGTACCTTAACCTCACAGGATCAAGGTGAACTGACTGGAGAGCTGGTGTCGTAAGCCAGAGGGAAACAAGGAAGAAGGGCGAGCAAGGAAGGAAAATGCCCACCCACGGGCCTCGCACGCCGCGTTCTCCATCCCTACTTTATGGGACTCGAGCAGGGGATGCAGAGCTTGGCAGCCTCTAAGTACAACGCCTCTGGCACCTACCCTGCAAGCAGGGTGTGCTCAGCCTCCCTGCTGAAGAAGCCAACGTGGGGCCAGGTATGGTGGGGGTCTATCTGCCAGACAAGCGTCCTTGCCTTCCCGTGGGCAGCAAGCACCGGGTAGCTTTGCACCAGGAAAGAGAGGCTGAAAACAAAAGCCTTGCACAGCACTTTGCAAGCCCGTGACCGCTTGCATCCCTCGGGGCCTACTTTCGTCGAGATTACGGTCCAAAGAGCGCGCCGCTCCCCTGCCTGCGTGGCAGGCTAGCGCTGGCCCTGGCCTTCCACCTCCGCTCGGTGCTGATAAACTCCCCTCCGCTCATGCAAGCCACTGCGGACAGCCAGTGTCCATATAAGGCTTCCCAGGGCGTTCAAGGACTGCCGGGTGCCAGATTTATGTGGGAAATATTTGAGGTCAATGCCTGCCCAGCCACGGCAGCAAGGACTCTGCTTCCCACTGCCCATCGCCAAGGCAAGGGAGACCCCTCGGAGAAGCTGGGAGAGGGAGGCCTAACGAGGCTATTCGCAATGCAAACATCCTTGGCACCTTCCCATATTTATCTGCTTGTTTATACTGAGCCCTGCCTTTGGGGACATCTGGAGACTTTTCCCCAGCGAGAAAGTCCAGCTGTTTATGTTAGCTGCTCATCAACGCGATGGAGCAGGGGGTGGGGGGGAGGCAACAGGAAGGTGGAGGGTCAGAGGAACTGGCAGGGGACAAGGAGGTGGAAGAAGCAAACCACAGCCCCTGTGCCCTGTTTTGCAGCGACTGAACCCTGAGGCCAAGCTCCTCATGGTTTCCGTAGGATCAGAGTTAGGCCTGGCTTTCACAAGGCAACCAAGCGCTCAATCTTGCTTTGTTTCTCCTGTTGCATGCAATGAATTCAGTCTATTTTTCCCTTCCCGGCCCCTCTCCCCAGTCTCTGCATCCTCCCACTGCTAAGGCCGGGTGTGCCATGAGCAGCTTTCCAGGGCTGTCATCCCCTGACCCCATCTGTCTCAAAAGCTATCCTGCGGTCATGTTGCCTACTACAGCCTAGCTTCTCTTTTGCCTGGTCTCCGTGAAAATGGGTCTCAAACTCTTTGTACATCCAGGACCCCATCTTGTCCACCCCTGCATGAGCAGCCCCCCGGGTGTCCCTTTGCATGAGTTACACTTTGTCTGTTGAACTGGAAATACAAAAAGGGGCCCTCGTTTTCACAAGTGACCCGGATCCCAAGCTCACTGTGAAGTCAATGGGAGCGACGGGCACTCAGCTCTTTGAAGGGTTAAAAATAAGAACAAGCAGGAAGCCTTAATCCATAAGACAGAAATCCCGACTCTCGGCCCGCTGCTCTAACCATTAGGCCTGCTGCTTGCCTAGGCTCCCAAATGTTAATTCTGCTTATGCCGTGCCATTATAGCTGGAGGGCATCATCACACTGTGCTATCCTGCTGCCTCCAGTGAGCGTCAGCACAGAGTCAGGATTCAAAGGCAGATGGACCGAAGGAAAGGAAAGAAACGCCAGAGCCATCTTTTGATCCCCCCCTTCCTCCCACGCCCGTAGCGCCGATCTGACAAAAACACCTAAAGGGCCCAGCAAATCTGAATTTCTCTGGGCTGAGCAAGAACCAAGGGGAGAGAAGAAAAGGCTGCATTTGGTCTTGTTTACTTTCTGGCAATGGCTATATGCGCCAGTGTTTGGAAAGAGCGACGGCAGCCAAATTCTTTCTGGATGATTAAATTTAACTATTCTGTTCGCTTCATAACATTGCAATTTGGTCCTATACAGGGACAGCCTGAGTTGAAGCAGCGGCTTGTTTTTTTTGTTTGTTTTAACCAGATCTTTCCATGCCTCAGTTAGACAACTTTTTACTTTCTTTCCCCTTGCTTGCAGAATGAAAGGAGGAGGACGGCCAAAGGGAGAGAAGGACGAGCTAGGTCTGCGGGAGAAGGGGGTGCTTTCATAAAGCCCTGATTGTGAGTTTTAAAGTGCCTCCCCTCCCCTGTCCTGCAAAAATACCAGGTCTGACAAAAAAAAAAAGGAGGGATTAAAAAACAGGTCCGGAGACGTGAATCGTTGTTTCTTTGGCGCCACGCTGGCAATCTGCCAATCAAAATGAGGTTAATTGAGTTACTGGGGAGCAGCGAGCGCGCCCTGGGCTCCGCGGAGACTTGGAGGAACAAGCTCAATGCCAGTTATTGAAAGGCTCCGCGTGCCCGTGGGTCCAGGCAACACAGCTCACTTGGGATCTCAAAGCATGATGGGCAGAAAGAGGCTGTGGCATGGTGGTCTCTGGCTACCCCACAGCTCTGCTCCCTGCACACGGTGCAATGGGAGATCACACACCAAAAAAAAAAATAAAAAAATCAGCTGTTCTTGCAATAAGCCCCGTCAAGCTGATACAGCTACAGGAGGGACAAATGGATTCTGGTCGGCTTCGTATCTCATCATCACTTAAGCTGCTGACTAAGCTCTCATTACAGAGGCTGAATTTCCCAACACGGGTGAGCACCGACAGCTCTTCTGACAGCCCTGGGGAGCGGTGCTTTCTCAGGAGCGCTGCAATTAAGACCTGGTCGTTTCACCCACAACGATGATGTAAAGACAGGAAAAACCCAGCGCGGTTCTCAGAACCCAGCTGGGATTTGCCAGAAAACTTTCCTGGCTGTTAAAATATGTGCCCTGATAATGCAACTGCATTTTTTTAAACATTGCCAACATAACCACCACAACAATCATCATAATACTAGAAATTGCCTTAGAAAATCAGGATTGACAAACCCTTTCTGTCAGCAGAGAGAGCACACAGAAGTCAAGATTGCTGGTTCCCAGCAAATCTGATGAGCAGTTCGAGGCCCTCGTGAGACAGAGTAAGAAGACCGCAGAGGGCAAGAGCACCCAGCCCTTTTATTGTCATGAAGAAACGCCAGTCGGCTGTAAAATGAATGACAGCCCCAAGCTGCCAGGTTTAGATGTGAACCAGCACTGCCCCAGAGCTACACGAATTCAGATGGGGAGCTGGGTTTGAGAACCAAGCCTACGGAGGGCCATGAAAGCATTTTCCTGCTTTTATTTTGCCAGGTGAAAATCTTCATGCAGCAACTTCATATCTTCCCAAGTTTGAAAAGGAAAAACAAAACCAAGAAAAAAAAAAGTTTCAAAAGGTTTCAGCAAAAATCCTTAACGTTTCTGTCAACATTTTTTAAACAACAGCATTTTTAAGCTGTGTCAAATACGGATCGTTTCCCTTCCAGCTGCACCTTGGAGAGTGAGAGGAGGCCACGGACCATAATGGGACCACAGCGGCCTGTTCCTTCTGGTCCTTAAAGAGGCTGAAAGGCATCCTTACCGGCTCGATGATGGCAGGCTCTCCCTTCTGTCCTTTCTCACCTCGGGGGCCACCAATCTATATCATGCAAGGAAAAGAAAACGGAGTTGAACAGGGAGGCCATCACCCGCTCTGTCAACTGGATTAGGCCAGGAGTTTCCACCTGGAATCAAAATGCAAACTGGCAATACCAAGCAAACCCAAGGGGTGAATGTGGTGTGGACGGCTGTCGAGAATGGGTCACACCCTGATGCTAAAGCACCAACCCTCTGATGCCGTCTCTGCAGGGAACAAGGGTGTAGGTTGTAGCCATGTTGGTCTAAGGACAGGCAGACAAGGTTCATTGGGTATCTTTTATTAGACCAACTCAAATAGTTGGAAAAAATTCTTCTTTCTGGCAGCAAGGGGCATTAAGTGACCTCATTGGTCTTCTCCATTTTTAACCCCCACTTTGGGACAGGGGCAGAGGAAGCAGACCTCATGTTTGCAGCAATTCAGGGCTAAGAAAGCTGCTTCCAGGGAACTCAAAAAGAGTCCGTGGTCACAACGCATTGCCTCACCCCTTCATAGACTGTGTCCTGATTGGCAGGCATTCCTGGCCCAATGTCCGGAGAGACGGTCCGGTCATAATAGTTTTCGTAGTAATTCGAGTCATACTCTTTTATCGTTTCCTCGGTGAAGTCTTTATCCAGGTCATCTCCACCTTGCCCTGCTTCCTGCTCCTCCTGGAAATAAGCACAGCAGCACATGTCAGACAGCGAATCCCCAGCCAGGAGCGTGCACCATAAAACTAAAGGGTAGACAACTACCGGGCTTTGCCCCAGGTGGAAAGAAAGGGGAGATAAAACTTTACAAGAGGCCACAAGAAAATGCCAAGAGCGTGCAGGAGTAAAAAATGGGTATCTGGTTATATAAGATGTATATGCTTCCAGGGACCACCAATGAATTTCTTCAATTGGGACTGGAAAAGAGGACTGAAGTATTCAGGAGAGCAAGCATCCCACCCATATGGACCACAACATGGCATTTCCCCTGGATTCCCTACATGCATTAAGAAATGTACTGCATGTGCCAAATACTATGCCAGAAAATCAGCAGAGAGAATGAGCAATGATACACAAGAAAGTTTTCCAACACTCCACATGTTGGGTATATAGAGAGATGTAGCTCAACCTCATTTCTCATTCAGTGAACAGAAATTTGTATCTTATCTAAACCCTGGAAAACAAAATCCAGGTCGACTTCTATAAAGGCCTCTGCCTTGTTAAGTTTGGGAGTGCTCAGGGATCCAACATAGCAACCCTGCTTGGTCCAAAAGCACATCTGGCAACATTTGAACTTTTGCAAATCTTAGGGCATTTATCTGCTAGCACCTTCCCCACCCCATCCTGCCTAAATAAATCTTCTTTTTAAAATTCTCCATAGGAAATCCATGCTCTAGTTCAGGCAAACAAGGACAGCTGTACCTATCAGGATTTCTCTGCTGCTTCGGTCCGGGTCTGTGCACAACACCATACTTCTGTGTTTTCTGCAATCTCCTAACCAGCTGTCCCTTGGCATTTTTGAATGCTAAAAAAGTATAATCTGTACTAAATACAGGTTTCTCTCCTGTGCAGGTAATGATAAAAATGGCCTATCGCTTTAATTACCTCCAACATTTCAGAGCATAATTATTGTTCTGCTATGAAAGAAGAATTCAGACTTGCCATAATGTGCCACCAACAACTCCAGTCTTCGCTTTCGGGCCAAAACCTGCTCATAATCCCTAAGCACAAGCATCTGTGTTTAGCAGGAAAGGGCTTTAAATAAAGGGTAAGCCAACATGGAGGAACCCCCAAGCACTTTTTTTTTTTAAACTCTGCACATATCATGTATTCTTCAATGATAATTTGGCAATGCTAAAGGAGTTTTCATCTGTCACGTGAGATAGGCACATTCTGCTATTCTGGCAAACCCAGAAATGAAACTTCAGTCAAGAAACAGAGCCCCAAAAAACTCCAGAACCAACAGGGATTTAGCTGCTTCTGCTCCACCATTTCCCCCCCCAAGTTGAACTTTCTTTTCCGCTAATCAGATGACCAAGTCGAAGTGCCTTCTCTTAGCAGGAGCTCACGTTTCCCTTGCTTCCACTGAAACTGTAATTCTTAAGAGCACATTCAAACGTATCAGTTCCAAGTGATTTAGCACATACCAAGTGGTCATCTAGGCCTCAGAGACAGGCTGAGAGAGGCATGTCATATTTGTTCTTCTCTACAAGACTGATCCAAATCCTGCTTCCCTTGGGAGTCTTTTCAATGGCTTCCAATGAGCTCTGGATCCAGTCCCACAAGCACTGGAAGGCTGTGGGAGTAACGCATAATCCAAGAGGGAAGCAGTTTGAAATTTCCATAACTTTCATCCTGCTAGAAAAATAACCCTTTCCCACCTCTTACACTCCTCTTTTTTCTTGCCAACTTTTAAGGAGACATTCTTGGAAATTTAAACCGACTGTCCAACATCATCCAACCAGGCATCTGTTCATGATGAAACAGCAACTTCATTTTTCCTACAATTTTCACAACAGCTCAATTCACCATCCTAAATGGAAGCAAGCAGAGGCAACCAAGGAGGCAAGCAAGCAAGGCAGGCAGGCAAGCAGACCATGAAATGATAATAAAAATTCCTTTTGTCAGTTTTCAACAGCCTCACTCGAACCAGGTTTTACCTCAACCCTAAGCATCCTTGCTTGGAAAATTATGCAAATATGAATTAGAAATTAGGGTACTTTAATCTGGATGAGTAGAACAGCTTATTCATTGCAAAGCAAGCACTGATCAAAGTAAGCACATATCTAGCTCCCACCTAGCACAGGAATTTCTTACTCCTATTTTTCAGCACTGCTGTAGTGGTTCTTTAGCACACAGCTAACAGCCATAGTGCAAGTGAAACCTAAGAGCAAGTTCACTGATTCAATCCACTTTGATCATTTCCCAGTCAGACTCCCAAAGCTTCATTCTTATTAAACGAGTTTTCTTCATTTGTGAACTATCACTAATTCTCCAGTCAAAGTTTCCACCTAAGCCCAATTTCAGAACACCTGTTCTCCCAGTATTGGGAACAGGCCTGCACTAAATGTTCACAGCGAACATCCCCTGATCCTATGAAAGGTCTATGACAAACTTAGGAATCACCATACTAGATCGGAGAGCTCTGCTACTCAACCCAGGAACGTGTTCCCAACAGACACCTGCCAGTAGGCCAGGGGATTTATTGACCACTGTCCCCGATTTTGTATTATTTTCAGCTTTGTATTACACAGCTCTTCCTTTCTGCTCTTGCAAGGGAATAGGTATTCTGAAATTGGACTTGGACAGAAACTATGACCCAGCTTCCATTGGCCATGAGGATCCTAGAGAAGTGGGGTTGGAAGAGACCTCCAGTGGTCACCTAGTCCAACCCCCTGCCCAAGGCAGGATCATCCCTCTCCAAGCCAGGATCATTCCTAACCAAACCATTCCCATACAATCCCTAATCTACACGGTCAACCCTAACACAACACCCAAACCTGCCACAGGTAAAGCAGGGGCACCACGGCAGCCAATACCTTGCTTCTATAAAAGGTTGTTCATCTATGCTCAAGAGATCCCAGATAGAAGGACACAACCCTTGCTCCAAAGCAAAAACATCCCACAATTATTAGGGCTACTCCATGTAAGTCCATGGTTTGTCCCTTTAGGCAGAGTGCCACTTTGTCTCCTGAGCTGGGTGAAGACCTTCAGTCCTTGCTCGCCTTTTTGACCCTTCATTCACAGGATCAGCACTGAAGAAAACTAAACGCTGTTCTTCACATTGCTGTTGATGGTCTTTACATTACAAATGACATGTTTCCAAACCTCTAAAATGTTCTCCATCTCCCAGCAGAGCTCCAGCTCTCACCGGGAATATCACACACTGCTTTGCATCTACAAGAGTCCAGCACCACCGCCATCTCTCCCATGAGCAGTTCGGTGCAGCACTGATACATTAAAATAATTCTTTAACTATTATAACAAGGTTTCCAGCCACGTGAAATGCTTTCAGGTTCCACTTGATGATCTTCATTTTCAAGTCCATATCCGGATGGATATCAGTAAAGAGGCCTGTTGCCCATGTATCCAGGACGTCTATATTGGTCTCTAGGTACACTAGATGCAGTCGTTCAAGCAGATGGCGTCTCCTTGCTCCATGACCCTCCATCCTTAAATTTGGTTTGGATCAATTCAGATTTATAAATATATACAAATATCACACCAAGGGCTTCCGTCAAGTCCAAATATCTCATTCTTTTTTCTATAGCACCATCCAGACTTGTCAACTCATGCTAGCTACGAAACCCATCATTCACCTTTACGTTCCCCTTGTCAGCCATGAATCTGCACCCGGGTCCTAAAGTGGAAAAAAAATACAACTCCAGCTGAAGTGACCTGTGATAGTCTTGTTTCCTCCTCCCGTCTTTTTTCAAGGTCATGCAATCCAAATTTCAATTCTTCTCTCTCTCTAATACTTCTTTTTGGGCCAAAATTTCTGCCCCTTTCCTGTTTCCTGGAAAACTCTTTTTTCTTTTGTTTGGTTGAGGCGGACACTTACTCCCTCAATACATTCAAGCATGTTTCATTTCTTGATGGTTTTTTCAAACTGCCCAGTCCCCCCCACTGCTGTATTTTTTATTCCCAACTGATTCAACTTGATCTCTGCCTTGGAAACATTCTTCATCTGTTGCTGGCCCCTCTCCTGTCTTGCTCCAGCTGTTTGGATTTCAGTCTGGATAACATAACACCATTTAAATCAAGCTTCTCTGCCCAATTTTAATTTTTTTGGCCAGCCTTTGCTAATTCTTTGCCACCTTCCACTACCTCCCATAGAGATGCAACTTCTGTAAGCATGGCAACCAAGTTCTTCTCTCGGTTCAAGCAGAAATTGTAAACCTTGGCCAATTCAAGACCAAACTCATGGGAACTATTAACCTGCTATTGGCACCAGCTGTCAAGGCTTCTGGGCAATGATAAAGTTTTTATTGTTCAGTAGAGAGTTACTCCCTTCCCCAGAAAGGAATTTAGTGCACACAGACACATGATGCTTGATTCTCACCTAGTGCAAGGACAACACCAATCTGTACCCAGCTGAACAGCAACATTAGATGCACAGAGAAGGACACGTCTCAAGTCAACAATACTCACAGATTCAGCCAAGACACAAGCCACAGTATTCAGATCTAGCCTAATATGCTTGTGCCTGCCTCTACCCAGTAGAAGCTTAGAAATACTGGTACTGTTAACTGATATAACACAATATCAATTAACTAGATTACCTAAGGGCCACTGAAAATATGCCCATTTGTGCAGCTACTTATTGATGGAACTGACTGGGCGGGGAAAGAAATCATTTTGCAATTTTAATTTTTTTTGAAAATGTTCACCTTTTTAGAAATCTGAAATTGTGAAGATTTAAAAGATAACAAACAACTACACAGATCACTGAAAAACAGATAGGGTTTAAACTTTCATTTTAAAAAGTTTATCTTTTTGAAACTGCACTGGCAGATTTAAGCCAGCTCTAGATATTGTCCTTGGGCTCCTCTACACGTGCAGAGAGCCCGATTAATCGAATCTGTGGGTGCACAGATATTACCACACTCCAGCAGATTCTAGTGTTATGTGTATCAGCATCCTCATACTGAAAAATGGTGGCAGGGTGCTTCAAATTAATG